GTCTGTCGGACCTACATGTTCTCAAGTTTTCAAAACATTATCTTCTCTTCAAGCCCATGTTCACTAGAACACTCCATTTTTAGCACTCAATCATTATTAGCTCACCTGCCATATCATTCCTTGTAAAGTGTGTCAGGACCCAGGCTTTCTGTCCTGGACCAGGAATGACAAAAAAAAGTTCGGCTCTTGAGATGGAAGTGCTTGATCATGTGTTGATAATTCAAAAGTGTGACAGCCCATCTTGAGAGGGGGTCGTAGTGGCTGTGTGGTTAAGGCGTCTGACTGTCTACAATCACTAGCCCTCCACCACTGGGTCGTGGCTTCGAGACTGAGGTGGGGCAGTCGCCAGGTACTGGCCATAGGTCAGTGTTTTTTCTCTGGGTACTCCAACTTTCCTCCACCACCTAAACCTGGACGTTAAATGACCATAGCTATTAAAAGGAAGTAAATCACAAACAAAGAAACCCATCTTTAGTGATATTTCAAAGTTTCATTTATATTTTTAGGCTTTTGACGGAAGAGTCCTTCTTGGAACAGCTCTCAAGGTATGGACGAAAAAATATTTTTTTATATATGCGTTCATATTTTAACTTAACACTGGAAAATATCATCCATTCGTATGTCATTCAAATGAATTATGAAAAGGGTACAATGAAAAAAAAAATGTGTGCAGTTTTTACTAGCAGAACAAGGTTTTGTTTTGTTATCATCTTTATAGAGTTTCATAACAAGGATTTCATATAATCTTTATTAAAAAAAAGGAAGAAAGAAAATAGAATCAAAGAAGAAAGTAATACCAAGGAAACACTTGGACAGTTAACATTTTGTATCACCCTTCAAATGAAAGGTAAATATATTGTATTAGTACAGGTGCCTGCATGATGATGTGTTGATTAATCTCAATATACCTGTATCTCCCACACAAGGGATGCAGCGCAGAGTAATAAGGTCACTGACCTTCACCTCTTGGCTAAATAAGTGAAAATGTTTTAATTAAATCTTCTGTGTTCTATAGCTTTTTTTCAAATGTTAAACATTTCATAATGGAAATTTAAAGTATATCTTCATCACCCTATATTCATTTCTAGGACTTCAATTTTAGTTGCCTTAATTTTTTCTGGGGCATGACTTAGATACCATTATGTAATATGTGATGAATATAAAATAGAAAATTAACATTGCAGTGGTTGGGTTCTTCTCATAACTCAATGTTTGATATGCATATTGGCTAAATAAAAAAAGTACATTTGTTTCTGTGCTTTAAATCAAATCTCTAATCACTTACCTAGTAGGAGCAAAGAGGAAAGGTATGTTGCAAATTTCAATGTCAATATCACAACTGAAAGTAGACTTGGTGTAAAATGGGCATGATTTTAAAGTTTCACACAATTTATGTCTTTTGATGTGCATGCCGTGCAACTCACAATGTTGGAACAGATATGAGAGTCGGATAAGTTCAGAAATGACAAAATCTGGAAAATATCGTAGGTGTATTGTAACCTCCAAAAATATTGTGTATCATAATACTGTATTCAAAACAATGTGATACATCGTCGCACGATATTGTTGCAGCCCTATTACCTAGTGTTCTCGATTTCAATTGTTGATGTAATGGTCTGTACAAAAACCTTGTGCTATCTGTTAACATCAGCTAGACGCGTGGTCAGGATGTCTACATAGCATATTTGGTTTCTTCAGGATAATATGGTTACCTGGTGTTTGTTTCAGTGTGGTCGTCAATTCCTAGACATATTTCTGCGACAAGGAATGCCACTCTTGGATAACATGTTCCGGTCACACAGAGATGATGTCCAGAGTCTGCTAAAGAACTTACAGCTTAGTACACGTGCACTCCACCACATGTGTGGCCATTCAAAGGTCAGTACAGGTGCACTCAAACTCATGGGTATACAAAGCTTTGTTGACCATATGTGGAGCACAAACATTTTCACAAACTAATATTTCAAAAGAAAAATTTGAAATTAAGAAAATGAAATGATTTGCATGAGTTGCTTATAGGGATTCATATTGATAACCTGTACATCTTCAAAATAATGTTCTGAATTACAATTAGAATGTGAAGGAAGCTAAACATTGCATCTGATGACCATATTTGAAATTTGAAAGCTTGGCTAGGGTCAAAGGTAAACAAAAGCTAAAATTAATAAAAAAATAAATAATAAAAAATGAGTAACCGATGACCTTGACCTATTTTCAAGGTCATAGGAGTCAAATATATTAATAACTTTAATAAAGAGCCATGAGACTTTGGAAACATGTATATCAGTAGTATGGACATCTTTTCTTAGTCCTCAGATAATAACTCTGAATTTCTTGAGATCTCCATCATATAAACATATCTATGCCTGCTGGGCATGAAGAATAGATCACAAGCATGCTAGGAGAATAAGCTCGGAGATCTGGCCCCACCTTTAGGGGCATATTCTTAGATCATTCTATGAAATGATTGGAATCCCAACCCTATAACTATACAAGATGTATACTGATCTAACTATACACGCATGCATACGGATCTCAACCAGATTTGCTATGAAGCCAGAGAGACAGAGGCTGAAATGGGAAATATATTTACAATACTACTTTAATGAGAATATGTTGCAATGATTGCCCAAATATCCAAAAACAATACAGGCCCTTTGGGCTTCTTTTTAGTAAGATGAGATAGTGTGTCAGTAAAGCCAAAGTTACACAGAGAAACTAGGCCAATGATTCATTGTTCATGTGTGACTTTGTCATCTACTTACAGATAATGAAAAACTTGGCATTGACCAATCAGGTGCCATTCCTGAAGAAAAGTCTGGAAGCATTTGTGTACAGGGTCAAGGTCATGCTTACAGTCAACAAGTGTTTGGAGGCATTCTGGCTCGGCAACCTCAAAAACAGGGACCTCAAGGTGAGGCACTCTACAACTGCGTCTGTCAGACTTTGTTATGTTGAAGTTGTGGGTAAAAAAAGTCATAACACAGTCTAAAAGGGGAACAACAGATAACTTTAATAATGATGTGGCTTCTGAGATATATAAAGTTTATGATGAAACGCTTTACATTGAATACAATGTGGTTTTACCAACTTATGAAAGAAACATGAAGCTCAACTTGAACTTTTCAAAATGATGTTTTTACATTGCACTTATGTTGATAAATTGATTTGTGACATTGCGTCGTTTCCAATAACAGGGTGAGGAGATAATGTCGCAGGCGTCTGTCGTGGAGGAGAGGAATGAAGATGAGAGCGATGAAGAAGAAACTGTTCCAGAGGATGAGGAAGAAAGTGATGTGGTATGTCCTCTAAGTTCTGGAGATCCATACCATGGGAAAGTTTTACAGAATTACTAAACTGTCCCATGATTTTCGCCCAATTTCTATTGTTTTTCCCACTAAACATCACATTATTATATCACCACAGTGAAGTTAGGGGAGGTATACTTATACAGGATGTCTGACTGCCCTCCATCCATGTGTAGACACTATTTTGTCTCTTCATGAAGAATATGACTCAGTTTTAATGAAAGCTTATGTAGCTCATCATCAGATCTGTGTATATGTGACATGTTATCTCCATCAGTGTTACCCAATAACAGAGTTTTGGACCTATATTTTGTATCCTTGAGGGTTCTTAATTGTGTAAAGAGGATAGCTGCCCTTGGAGCTGGTCCAAAACACGAGATTTGATCATGATTCAACTAAATTTGCTATGAAGCATCTGTAGGACCAGGCTAATTCTGGTATAGTTTTCAGTTGGTTATTGCCCTTTAATCACTGAATAATTACTGCTTTACCTGTTCAACAGATAGCACAGACACAAACAAACTTCTGACCAGAGAATTTCCTCAATCTGAATACTCTCTTCATCGTAAAGAGAAGTAAGAGGGATTAGTTAGGCATTGCAGGTGACAAATATGATAGTTTGGCATAATGGGGCTCCACTAGGAAACATGTGCATAAGTATATAGACCAGAAACAGGGGGTTCTAGATATAGATAATTTGCAATTACGTGAACGATAATGAATTAAGTTTTAAACATGTTTGTTACAGGAAATGGATAACCAGAGTGAGGCAGGAAGTGACCAAACAAAAGAGAACAGTGATAACGAGTCCTGTAGCGAAATATTTTAAAGGGCAGATAACTCAGACAGAGAAGTTAACAGAACTTATAAAATGAGATCTGACAAGTGAAGAATTAAAAAATGTTTCAAAAATGGAATTGTTGTCGGCCAATCTGACAATTTAAACACAACACTGACTGCAGATTTAAGATTGAGAGACGCAATATACCAACCAGACAATGTGGAAGTCAAGAGTGTTCAGTGGAAGACAAAGACAAATTGCTAATAAGGAAGTAGTTACTAGCATAAATGTTACTGAGGCGTAAAGTGTCATCAAGTAATGACCAGAACTACTGACGAAAAATGTTCATGTCATTAAAAGAGAATCAATGAGTATAAGTTATCTGTTACATGTGTTATAAACATTGAAAAGGCAAGTTAAACCCCCTTTGGTCGAATGTGAGATATGGTGATAGTGTTCAGATCATTAATATTAAGTTCCTCTTGGTAGTATACACAAGGAAATCAATACATTTTGAATATTTCACTGGGCAGAACTTTTCTGGTGTAGAATGTTAATATTCCTTCATGATATGGTACAATATGTAGTTTTTTGCAGGATTTCCTTTATTACTGTTTTGCCAAATAATTGTGCAGTACAAATCTTCTCGACTGTCAACCCACACTTCACTGTCAAGGACATCCCAATGTATTTCTCTGACGATCACTTGTTTTACCTAATTGTCAATAGGCCATGATATGCATAGCTTACATTTTCATATTTCCCATGGTTTGCATCAGTTACAATAGAAACAATGTTCTTCATTGTGCTTTCAATATCATTGTCCTTGATGTCTCAAACTCTATAGGTAATCGGAATCTTTACCAAACCGGGTCACAGATATTTGTTGTTTGCGTGAAATAATATCCTTTACAAGTTTGTTTGTTGTTCCTGGCAGCAGTCAGGGTCATATGAAGGGAACAAGTTTGGTAACAAAATCATCATCAGTTGGGCAATGCAACACTTGGCCTTGTTTCATATAAAATACATAAAGAACGATACCTTTAAATTTGCCTTTTTCATCGATTTTGTTATTCTGAAAAGATATTTTGTCAATTGTCGCATTATCTGGTAACTTCGTGGCAAGATAAATCTTTGATAAATACACCTCCAGAATGCACAGGAAAGTGTAAAGTTCAAATTGCGTTGTATTTTTGTATAACAAATGTCTCACCACTTCAAAATTGATAATTATTTCTTCCGACATCAAAACATGCTCCGCATAAAACACGTCATGTTATCGCCCTATAGTCAAGCACAAATAATAGACGTTTTATATATAATAAAGGTAAGACGAGATTTTAAAGCATGATCAGTAATCTGGATAGAGCAGTCAGGTAGGTAAATCATTCCATATTGGCAATGACTGTTTGGTTCTCTGCATCCTAACCTGCACATTGTATAGTAAACATGTTCATTGTATACATAGTAGCATTATATTTCATTATATATGGTTATAAATGTATTTATGAAATTTGCTGTAATTTGTAAAACTTTTTATTTGTTGAGAGATGATATTTGTGATGAAATGTTAAATGTACTGTGATTGTTGTGCTGTGAAGTTTTCAGATGAATTGACTAGTGTTTAAGATTATGCATGATGATTGCATATGGTTCATGTATGAGCTTATTTTGTTGAAATAAACATGTATTATATACTGTTTGTATGTCTTCGTGCTGACTTTCATTGTCCCATTTTAGAATTCTACCATTTTGAAGATAAATTGTCTCTTTCTTGTCATGAATCTGACAGTCCAACAAGTCCCCTATAAGATGCTATAGTCTCCTAAAACTCCAACCCTTGATAAGTCACGGATATAGGCCCGAATTCAAATCGAAAACCATACATGTTATTAGAATATATCGAACTTGTATGTATATCACCTTATAGTACCATTATAAAATGGTGCACGACGACGTTAACATACGGCCTATTCGTTTATGCGGAACAAACGGTTTGTCCGTTTTTAAATGTAACAATTTCGGTTATAAATACTAGCGGACTTGCAATGTTTTTGCAAGGCTTTGTCAAGGCTCGCCTGAAAGCAGCATCAGATTA